TGAAAGGGCGAGCATGTTTGGTGGGACGGGGATTCGAACCCGCGACTCGCAGATTGCGAGTCGAGTGCCCTAACCACCTGGCCATGCCGGGCCGTCTATACTGTGTAACATTAAGCACAGAACCCCACTCAGTTGTTTTTAGAAATCTCTTCTCCCACGACCCCATTGTAAGGCCAGTATAAAAATAGTTTTCCCAGGTCTTTTCTTACTCCAATTCGCAACTGCGTCTATCTGTATTTTTGTACTGATATTTCGTACAATAAAACCATTTTAAAATCTCTTTCATTTTTATTGGTTTTTCTAATGCTATAATTTTTTTCAGATAGATTTATAAAATTCATTAACTTATTGTTTTTGTTTTAGTTATTAACATTTGAATACATTTTTAGAAATATACATCTTATGGTTGTAAGCCCTTAAACTTACTACTGTCCCATCGGAGGACATTTGCACATAGGGAAAAAAAGCAAGAGATTGAGTAAAGTATTATTTGTTGGAGCAATAAAAGATTACAAGAACATCAATATAAATACTTCAAAACAGAATATTATTCACCGAAATTTATTTACCTCTCAAAATAAACTTGCGTACACTGGCGTTTAGAAAAGACTCTCAGTGGGTCAGCTGTAAGTTCACGGACTTACAACGCTAAACTACGCCGTTCGATACCCTGAAATGGACGATGTGCAGATATACATAGTGTTGCTTTATTCTAAAACGAATTAGCGAAAAGAAAAATGGGAGTACGAGGCACTTGTCACTAAAGAAATAGCATGCAAGCATGTGCGATACGGAGGGAAGGGTTTGGGGAGCTGAAGCCTTCCCCTTAGCCATAAACTTTTACAATTTGTGTAAAACAACATATATATACTAGGAAAAATCATATTTAGGTAGCTGAATACAAATCTCTAATCTGAACTATTTTAAAACAAGAAAATTGTCTAAAATAGTATTAGGTATACTATGTGATAAATCTAATGTTTTTACTTTTTAATTAGTTTTGTATTTTATCTTAGAATATGTATTTAGGACCAAACCAAATCACCTAATCTGGCCAAACCTTCTAAGATATTATTGGGAGTATGGTCGAAAAAGTTATTAGCAGTGAGGGTACCAACCAATGAAACAATTCATTCGAATCTTTACAAGAATTATCTTTATTATATCCAAATTCCCAGTAATAACATATTTATGAAAAGAACCTGCCAAAGAATTTGAGTAGCAATCCCATGATATATTCTACACATTATTTATATCAAAATTATTTAAAAAGTCGTTGTATTTTATGTAAGAGATCCTATTGGAATTTCATATTTAAAACTGGTAAAAGGTTTTATATATTTTAAAGGAAAAATATTTTGTATTGCAGAACCATGGAAAATTTGCAAATCATTAACAGTTTTATGTGTAAATTTAATTACTATATATGATGATTTTCTTATTGATAACTGTTTAAGCCTAAATTTTATAATCTTCGAAATTAAATGTTTAACATGATTATTTTGAAAATTAAAAATCATTACAATTTTTGCTAATACTTTTACCTTTGAATTGTTTAACTTATGAATATTCTTGTAGAAATAACTACGAATGTTAGCAAGTATATGAAACTTACTATCTAAATCAGTACAAAAATTAACCCATTTTATTCTATTTTTACCTTTTCCTTTATAGTTTTTCTTTTTGTATACATTTCTTACTAGACGAAAGAAATTACCAAAATAATTGTTATCACTTAAATCTATATCAGTAGTACCATTACAGTCTTGATTCAAACCATAAGTGTATAAAGTTTTGTACTTAAGAATGTAAAAAATTTCTTTTTGTAATCATTTTATTTCTATATTAGCGATTTCTAAAATTGTAATCACTATTGAAGCAAAGGGATGATTTCTGAATTGTTACAATTCAACGGAATTTACCACATTATTTTTACTTTGAGATCCATGCAGATTAATGCGAATATGTAGAGGATTGGGAGATTTTTCCACATATTAATAAATAATTTACATTTCTTACATTGCAAAAGGAATAGTTATAAATAACTAAGTGAAAAGAACTAAGAAAAGGACATATGAGGCATCGC